ACTGATAGGCATTTGGGTTTATTCCATGTATTTTCTATTGTGAATAGTGCTGCAATGAGCATACCCATGCATACATCTTTATAATACAATGATTTATATTCCTTTGGGCATACACCCAGTAATAGGATTGCTGGGTCAAATGGTATTTCAGCCTCTACATCTTTCACAATGGTTGAGCTAACTGAATACTCCCAACAGTATAAAAGTGTTTCTTTTTCTCCACAGACTTGCCAGCATCTGTTGTTTCTGGACTTTTTAATAATTGCCATTCTGACTGGCATGAGATGATATCTCATTGTGGTTTTGATTTACATTTTTCTAATAATCAATGATGCTGAGCTTTTTTTCATGTTTTTGGCCATGAATGTCTTCTTTTGAGAAATACTTGTTCATGTCCTTTGCCCACTTTTTAATGAGGTTGTCTGTTTTCTCTTGTACATTTTCTTTTAAGTTCCTGGTAGTCTCTGCACATTAGACCCTTGTCAGATGGACAGATTGCAAAAAATTTTTCCCATTCTTTAGGTTGCCTGTTAATTCTGATGATAAGTTTTTTTTGCTGTTTTCTGTTTCTTGTTTGTTTTGCTATGCAGAAGTTCTTTAATTTGATCTTATTTGTCAATTTTTGCTTTTGTTGCAATTGTTTTGCATTTCCATTATGAAATCTTTGCCTGTGCCTATGTCTTGAATAATATTGCCTAGATTTTCTTCTAGGGTTTTTATGGTTTGAGGTTTTACATTTAAAGTCTTTAAACCATCTTGAGTTACTTTTGGCACAGCATGCAAGGAAGAGGTCCAGTTTCAATTGTCTGAATATGGCCAGCCAGTTCTCCCAGCACCATTTACTAAATAGAAAATCCTTTCCCCATTGCTTGTTTTTGTCAGGTTGTTGAAGATCAGATGGTTGTAGATAGGCAGTCTTATTTCTCCATTCTCTATTTTGGTCCATTGGTCTCTGTGTCTGTTCTTGTACTAGTGGCATGTTGGGTTTTTGTTTTTAATTCTTTCTGGGCTTTTTTATTTTTATTTATTAAAGTTCTGGAGTACATGTAAAGATCTTGCAGGTTTATTACATAGGTATACATGTACCATGGTGGTGGTTTGCTGCATTCATCACCCCATCATCTACATTAGGTATTTCTCCTAATGCTATCCCTCCCCCATCCTCCCACCCCCTGCTATTCCTCCCCTAGCCCCTCACCTCCCAGAACCCAGTGTGTGATGTTACCCTCCCTGTGTCCATGAGTTCTCATTATTCAATACCCACTTATGAGTAAGAACATATGGTGTTTGCTTTTCTATTCTTGTGTCATTTGCTGAGAATGATGGTTTCCAATTTCATCCATATCTCTGCAAAGGACATGAACTTATCCTTTCTATGGCTGCATAGTATTCCATGGTGTATATGCACTACATTTTCTTTATCCAGTCTATCATTGATGGGCATTTGGATTCGTTCCAAGTCTTTGCTATTGTGAACAGTGCCATAATAAACATACATGTGCATGTGTCTTTATAATAAAATGATTTATAATCCTTTGGATATATACTGAGTAATGGGATTGCTGGGTCAAATGGTATTTCTATTTCTAGATCCCTGAGGAACCATACTGTCTTCCATAATGCTTGAATTGATTTACACTCCCACCAACAGTGTAAAAGCATTCCTCTTTTTCTTTACATTCTCTCCAGCATCTGTTGTCTCCTTATTTTTTAATGATCACCATTCTAACTGGCATGAGGTGGTATCTCAGTTTGGTTTTGATTTGCATTTCTCTAATGGCAAATGATGATGAGCCTTTTTCCATGTTTGTGGGATGCATAAAGGAAATAAGAGAGGACACAAACAGATGGAAAAACATTCCATGTTCATGGTTAGGATGAATCAATATTGTGAAAATGGCATACTGCCCAAAGTAATTTATAGATTCAATGCTATCCCCATCAAGGTACCAATGACTTTCTTCACAGAATTGGAAAAAATCACCTTAAACTTCATATAGAACCAAAAAAGAGCCCACATAGCCAACGCAATCTTTATCCAAAAAAACAAAGCTAGAGGCATCACACTACCTGACTTCAAACTATGTTATAAGACTACTGTAATCAAAACATCATGGTGCTGCTACCAAAACAGAGATATAGACCAATGGAACAGAACAGAGGCCTCAGAAAGAACACCACTCATCTACAGCAATCTGATCTTTAACAAACCTGACAAAAACAAGCAATGGGGAAAGGATTTTCTATTTAATAAATGGTATTGGGAAAACTGGCTAGCCATATGCAGAAAGCTGAAACTTGAACCCTTCCTTATACCTTATATGAAAATTAACCCTATATGGATTAAAGATTTAAACATGAGGCCTGATATCATAAAAACCCTAGAAGCAAACCTAGGCAGTACCATTCAGGACATAGCCATGGGCAAGGGCTTCATGACTAAAACACCAAAAACAATGGCAACAAAAGCCAAAATAGAGAAATGGGATCTAATTAAATGTAAGAGGTTCTGTGCAGCAAAAGAAACTATCAATAGAGTGAACTGGCAACCAACAGAATGGGGAAAAAATTTGCAATCTCCCCATCTGACAAAGAGCTAATATCCAGAATTGACAGATAACTTAAACAAATTTACAAGAAATAAAAAACTCCATCAAAAAGTGGGCAAAGGATGTGAACAGACACTTTTCAAAGGAAGATATTTACCAATTCTTTTATTGACAGACCCTTAGATTGCTTTCATATCTTACCTATTATAAATAATGCTGAAATAAACATGGGAGTACAGATATCCCTTCAGCATACTGATTTTAATTTTTTAATGTGGACATTAATGATCTTTGGCAGTTCTCTCTCAGTACCATCTATCATACTTTGAGAGTTTTGTCTGGTTTTCTCAATCATACCTGCATAATGGCAGAGTGAGAAGAATGGGGATTCAGGAGACCAGGCCACTGGTGTCCTATTCCTGCCCCTAGTTACCTTGTAACCTTTAGGCAATCCCATACCCTTTCTCAACCTGACTCTCCCCATTGGTCTCTAGGTGTTCTTCTTCTATGGCTATTCCCAGGTATGTGACTATGGTATAGATGATACTGGCTTAGGGTTATGTGTAGTTCCTGGTACCTACTATAAAACTATTAATCTCTGAAAAGTTATAAACTACTTATGTTCACTGCCAAATATCAATGATTTTTTTACACTTTTGAATTTATCAGTAGCAGAGACTACTTTTTAAATGGAATCTTGCATGGAAGACCATATCTCTAGCACAAGAAAGTGACGCCACTATATTTGGGAGGAAGGTTACAGAAACTGGCTGCTCTCTCTTCTTTTGATTCCTACAGTGATTCAAGAGGCATCTTTGGGGGAAATCGGGAACTATTTGGAATGTGTTTTGTAAATGATTGGACTAGATCTTTTTCATGGTCACTTCTAGTTATAATAATTTATGAATCTATGAGGCAATACACTAGAATCAGGAAAGCATGATATCATTTGAAAATCTACATACATCAATTAGGATCTCATTTAGGGGTTATGGCAGCCAGGGACACATGCCATTTGGATCACTATTAAGGAACTTGCTATTCAACTCTAAGAAATACAGTGAGCTGATACCATCCAAACATTAGGACCTTTAGGATCTGCCCGATCTTTCCAGCTGACACCACATTCCTCATCTGCATCCCCAGCCAACGACTGAATATAATGGAGTTATCAGAGTTTGGCCATTTTTGTCCAATATGGGTTACCTCTTTACTCTGTGTCTTCCCACTGGGTGGTCCAAGACTTGTTAGATTTGCCCAATTCTATTTCCTCCACTTTTTATTCCTCACAAATATTAACATTACAACCTCAGGTAACCTTCTACATCACTCTTTATAAAGCTTTCAGATGAGCAGAACAATACTGAATAGCACAGTATTGGTTTATTAGAATAGGAATGAGACTTCCTTTCTGCTAAAACAAATGAAAGAATGAGGATGAAAATGAGTGAATGAAAGGCAGAAAAAGAGGTTGGCATTAATCATAGTATCTGGCATATGATAAATACTTAATAATTATTTCTCTTTTTGTCTATACCTTATTAGCTGTAATGTGCTAATTCAAAACTAAGGCTGGCCAGCCAAGCTCCTGTATTCTCCAGGTTGTTGGCTAAAGTTAGCTTCTTCCTGTTTTCAGTTAAGTCATAATTATCACAGGTCACTACCCCAAGGCCTCTGGACTTAAATTTAACTTTGGTGCTAAGGACCTCTCTTTCCCCAGACTCTATTCTCAGTTCCTATATCCCTTAATCCTCTGTTGTGGAATCAGTTGTTAGTATACTGATGCCTTTCTGCCCTCCTTTTCTTTAACTTATATACCTATTCATCAACAAATATCCTTATTAACTCTGATGTAGAAAATGTCATATTAGCCACCATGGGGGTAGAAGCCTCATTTAAACATTAATTTTGGCCTCAGGGAACTTGTAGATGATAATAGAGACCCATAAATTATGTTCATCACTTTATTATAGCTATAAATACCTGTTAAGAGTATTTATAAGAGAAGTTAAGATGATGCTCAGTTAATACTCAAAGGATAATATTTAAGTATATATATGTGTGTACACACACACATATATATATTTCAAAGTTGCAATATCAGAGATGACTTCTGGGAGAGAGTTGCATTTTCAATGTGGCTAAGGTATTAAGTCATTAGTGGAAAGCTGATAAATAAGCTAAAATAATATGAATTGCTATATGAATCAATCATCCTTACTCCCTCTCCCATGGTGGCAGTTAAGGGGCAAGCAAAGTACAGATCATAGACCTGAGAAATGGCTTATTAGAACCTTAATGTATGAAGCCAAAGTAGATGCAAATGCCAGGAAAAGCATCACCATGATGCACAGGTTTTTGGTTGCACAGGGTTATCCTCACACACCATCAGCACAGCCTTCAGACCACTGAGTTATTTCTGAAAATCTGTCATATGTTATTTCTTTCCAGATGGTAGTCTGAGAGGGACAGAATGAGAGGGAGCAGGAGAAAGAAGTGAATAAATAAGAATGCATCTGGAGAATGAGGCATCTTGGAATCTGGAAAGTGAGGCATTCTGGAAGAGAGATGAAGGTAAAATTTTAAAGGTAATTAAAGAATTTTTTTTTACCATAAATGAGGTTAAGTTGAAAGGCAAATAGACACACTGGTTTAGATTTCCCCATGTAACCCTAGCATAGATAAAAATAACAGGAGAGGCCAAATCCACTGTATATTCTTACAGACCTATGTATGAAGAGTTGGGATTGGGACAGAATATGGGGAATGGAGGATATAATGACTTCTAGTTCTTTTTATCAGTCCTGTTAAAGAAATAAGAGAGAAAGGAGACTTAAATGGGCTCTATCTTACACCTTTTAGTGATAAGAACCATAAATTAAAACAATCTTCCAGAGGCCATATTAAAAGATTACAGAATAAGTTGGTGACAGGGTGTGAAGCTACTTCTAGAAGATGAGGTGGTGGAAGGAGAGATGAAGAGTGGGTTAAAACAGATGCTTAAATTTAGACTGACAAGTATGCGTAAGTGTCATTTTGTCTAAAAGCAGAATGGACTAAATGACATCAGAGTTGGTTTTTATTTTTTTTTTCAGTGTAATAGCTATTTTACAGGTATGTTTTACAGCTTAAACATCGAACATTAATATATTTCAAATCCAGGTCTTTATTTGCATATGGACAAACAAAAGTTAAAACCAACAAAACTCTCCAAATATATACCTTGTGTTCCTGGCTTCCCTTACTATTATTTCTCTCTTACAGTGGGAATACACAAACCCTATCCTTTTAGTTAGTTAAATACTTCATTTCTCTGAACTACTGTAAACCAAGCACTACTGTTAATTTGATTTGGATCTGCTTTAGGGAAATGTACTTTTCTGTTAACTGTGGGCTTTCTTCCAGCATTTGGGAACGTGGCTCAAACATTATCACTGGTGTTACCCAAGTTCAGCTTTGGAAAGCTATTTTGGAAACTGAAATATGAACCTAACTTCATAATTATATAGAACCAGGAGGCTGTCTATATTTTATGATTTGAGAGAAATTTGGATTAGGAGTCTTACTCTTTGGCCTAGAAAACTCACAATAGGACAATTCTAGATGTACAGAGTAAAGAATAATGAGAGCAAATTTGAGGCCACCACTGAGAGAATATTTTATGTACAATTTCATTTTAAAGCTGGGGCCATAGATAGTTGGCCTGCAACATGAGTGGAGGTTCAGTGTTGTTTCTCTCCAACTACCCACAAGTGACAATTCTAACCTCATTCCCCAATATCACCTTGCAGCCCAAAATAGAAGCATTAACTTCTTACTTGTGCTTAATGCTTTCCTGCCTCTGTTCCCTTTTCCATACCATAACAATATCTCCTTGTTTGCAGTGTTCATAATCTAGCTCTACTGTGAATGTACCCTAACAATGAAGTCTTTTTTAATTTTCCCAATCAGAATTAATGTCTCATTATTGAGATATTGTTGACATACCCCAAAATTTATGCTTTAAAAGTGTATCCTTTAAAGTCAGTGGATTTTAGAATATTCTCAAAGTTGTTCTTTCAACACCAATAATTTTAGAATATTTTCATCACTCCAAAAAAATCTTATAATCATTAGTAGTCAGTCTTCATTGTACCTACTCCCCAGCTCTTACCAGCCACTAATCTACCTTTTTTCCCATATTGATTTGCATATTCAGTATGTTTAATACAAATAAAATGAGTAGCTTTCTGTGTCTGATCTTACTTACTTATGATGTTTCCAAGACTTATCCATGTAGAGCATGAACCCCTACTCTATCCCTTTATATGCCTGACTTTTCCTTGCATTAATACATCAGGTTTCATTTATTTCCTAATTGATAGTCATTGAGTCATTTCCACTTTGAGTATTATTAATAATACTGAGATGAACATGTATATATGAGTTTTCGTATGGGCATTTGTTTCCATTTCTCTTGAGAAAACTGCCAGCTAGGAGTAAAATACTGTGGATCATATAGTAGCTCTAAATTTAACTCATGGAGGAACTGCCAAACTATTCACCAAACTGGCTGTATCATTTTATGTTGTTTCCCAAAGCGTATGAGCGTTCTAGTGTCTCCACATTCTCTCTAACACCTATTATTGTCTTTTAAAACTTTATTTATCTTAGTGGCTATGAAGTAATAAAATCATTTGGTTTTTATTTGTATTTCCTTAATGATAAATGATGATGACTATCTTTTCATGGCTTATTGGCCATTTGTTTATATTCTTCAGAGAAATGTCTGTCTTCTTTAATTGAGTTATTTACAGCTGTGAATTTCTTTCTAAGCACTACTTTAGTTGCATCCCATAATTTTGGCGTGATATTTTGGTTACGTTCATCTTGAATTGTTTTGTAATGCTCGTGTGATATTTTTTCTTTGACTTATTGGTTGTTTAGGTGTATGTGGTTTAACTTCCACATGCTATTGAATTTCCCAAGTTTCCTTCTGTTACTGATTTTTTTTTTATTGCATTTTAGGTTTTGGGGTACATGTGAAGAACATGTAAGATAGTTGCATAGGTACACACGTGGAAGTGTGATTTGCTGCCTTCCTCCCCTTCACCCACATTTGGCATTTCTCCCCATGCTATCCCTCCCCAGCTCCCCCCCACTCTCCCTCCCCTATTCCCCCCAATAGACCCCAGGGTATAGTGCTCCCCTCCTAGTGTCCATGTGTTCTCATTGTTCATCACCCGCCTATGAGTGAGAACATGCGGTATTTCATTTTCTGTTCTTGTGTCAGTTTGCTGAGAATGATGTTCTCCAGATTCATCCATGTCCCTACAAAGGACATGAACTCATTGTTTTTGGTTGCTGCATAATATTCCATGGTGTATATGTGCCACATTTTCCCAGTCCAGTCTATCATCAATGGGCATTTGGGTTGGTTCCAGGTTTTTGCTATTGTAAACAGTGCTGCAATGAACATTCATGTGCATGTGTCCTTATAGTAGACCGATTTATAGTCCTTTGGATGTATACCCAGTAATGGGATTGCTCGGTCAAATGGAATTTCTACTTCTAGGTCCTTGAGAAATCGTCACACTGTCTTCCACAATGATTGAACCAGTTTACACTCCCACCAGCGTGTAAAAGTGTTCCTATTTCTCCACATTCTCTCCACCATGTGTTATCTCCAGATTTTTTAATGATTGCCATTCTAACTGGTGTGAGATGGTATCTCAATGTGGTTTTGATTTGCATCTCTCTGATGACCGGTGATGATGAGCATTTTTTCATATGTTGGTTGGCTTCATGTATGTCTTCTTTTGTAAAGTGTCTGTTCATATCCTTTCCCGATTCTTGAATGGGCTTGTTTGTTTTTTTCCTGTAAATCTGTTTGAGTTCTTTGTAAATTCTATATATCAGCCCTTTGTCAGATAGGTAAACTGTAAAGATTTTTTCCCATTCTATTGGTTGCCAATTCACTCTAGTGACTGTTTCTTTTGCTGTGTAGAAGCTATGGAGTTTGATTAGGTCCCATTTGTCTATTTTTGCTTTTGTTGCCAATGCTTTTGGTGTTTTGTTCATGAAGTCCTTGCCTACTCCTATGTCCTGAATGGTTTTGCCCAGATTTGCTTCTGAGGGTTTTATGGTGCTAGGTTTTATGTTTAAGTCTTTAATCCATCTGGAGTTAATTTTAGTGTAAGGTGTCAGGAAGGGGTCCAGTTTCTGCTTTCTGCACTTGGCTTGCCAGTTTTCACAACACCAGTTATTAAGCAGGGAGTCCTTTGCCCATGGCTTGTTTTTGTCAGGTTTATCAAAGATTGTATGGTTGTAGATTTGTTGTGTTGCTTCCAAGGCCTCTGTTCTGTTTCATTGGTCTATATCTCTGTTTTGGTACCTGAACCATGCTGTTCTGATTACTGTTGCCTTGTAGTATAGTTTGAAGTCTGGTAATGTGATGCCTCCTGCTGTGTTCTTTTTGCTTAGAATTGACTTGGCTATGTGGGCTCTCTTTTGGTTCCATATGAAGTTCAAGGTTGTTTCTTTCCAGTTCTGTGAAGAAAGTCAATGGTAGCTTGATGAGGATAGCATTGAGTCTGTAAATTACTTTGGGCAGTATGGCCATTGTCACTATATTGATTTTTCCTAACCATGAACATGGAATGTTTCTCCATCTGTTTGTGTCCTCTCTTATTTTGTTGAGCAGTGGTTTGTAGTTCTCCTTGAAGAGGTCCCTTACGTTCCTTGTAAGTTGTATTCCTAGGTATTTTATTCTCTTTGTAGCAACTGTGAATGGCAGTTCATTCTTGATTTAGCTCTCTTTAAGTCTGTTGTTGGTGTATAAGAACGCTTGTGATTTTTGCACATTGATTTTATATCCTGAGACTTTGCTGAAGTTGCTTATCAGTTCCAGGAGTTTTTGGGCTGAGACAATGGGGTCTTCTAGATATACAATCATGTCATCTGCAAATAGAGACAATTTGGCTTCTCCTTTGCTATTTGAATACCCTTTATTTCTTTTTCTTGCCTGATTGCTCTGGCTAGAACTTCCAGTACTATATTGAATAGGAGTGGTGAGAGAGGGCATCTTTGTCTAGTGCTAGATTTCAAAGGGAATGCTTCCAGTTTTTGCCCATACAGTATGATATTGGCTGTCGGTTTGTTGTAAATAGCTTTTATTTTTTTGAGATACATTCCATCAATACCAAGTTTATTGAGGGTTTTTAGCATAAAGGGCTGTTGAATTTTGTCAAAGGCCTTCTCTGCGTCAATTGAGATAATCATGCAGTTTTTGTTTTTGGTTCTGTTTATGTGGTGAATTACATTTATAGACTTGCATATGTTGAACCAGCCTTGGATCCCCGGGGTGACTCCTACGTGATCATAATGGATAAGCTTTTTGATGTGCTGTGGCAATCAGCTTGCGAGTATTTTATGGAAGATTTTTGCATCTATATTCATCATGGAAATTGGCCTGAAGTTTTCTTTTCATTTTAAGTCTCTGCCGGGTTTTGGTATCAGGATGATATTGGTCTTATAAAATGATTTGGGGAGGATTCCCTCATTTTGGATTATTTGGAATAGTTTCAGAAGGAATGGTACCAGCTCCTCT